TTGTTTTTTTTAAATATATCAGGGTTAAGGAAACTGTGGCCTACTGCAATGCGTGAACACAATCCTTTGCATTCCTGGATACCTAGTACATTAGCCGCTTAAAGAAAAGTTATTTCTCCTGATTGGTATAGTGCATTTTACATGGACGCTGCTACATGCTGTATCTGTCTATTGTTCTTGATAGCCGTTTCATATTAACTAGGGCTGTACAGCACTTAAATTGAAGGCAGAAGGGTGCCCTGCAGTTCTTGGGACCTCTCTGCCACTCCTTAAATCTAATGCTGCTTTTCCTGGGATGTGCTGCAATTGTAGAGGGTAGCTATATGATCCCTGGAAAAGATTCAGCCACTTTAAGGAGTGGCAGAGAGATCATACATGAACAACCTTGTGTTCTCCAAAGCATCTTTTTGTCTTTGCATCTGAAGTGCTGCATAGACCTGATGTTCATATTATATATATCTTACGTGCAAGCTCAGAGTGCAAGTGACTTTGAGCAACTATCTTGTAAATGCTGTGTTATGTCCATTAGTCATTTCTACAGTGTAAGCAACTTAAAATGGAATGGAGGGAAAGGCTGGTAAATTTTAAAAAGTGACAAAATGGGTTATTATCTGTTTGTACCCAGTGGAACAAAGCATGGAAAAATCATGTCATATCTGAGGGTTTTCCCATAAAAGGACTGCTAACATCTTATTTGAATATTAGCTTCATGGGCCAAAAATTTGATTCACAGCATGCTTGGGGACCACATGTCTCTTTGTATAATCTACGGTATATTAAAATAGATAATATGCTGTAAAATGTTTATGAACATATTATTTGTCAGAGAAGGTGTCAGCAGTAAAATGCACTGAAATAAATGTGAAGTAATATATTTTTTTAATGTCTGCTGTTACTTGATCTTGAGTTGACAGTAGTTTAATTATAGCAGAATTTTTAAAAAAATCTCTTCTATGCACTGTGAAGAATCTAAACACTGTATATGTTTCTTCTCCGTAGTATATTGTTTCTCAGGTTCCTCTACTACGTCACATAATTACTGTGGATGGCAAGCCAACGTCATGGTCAGATTTTCCAAAAGGTGTTACTGTTCAAACTATGTCATCTGTTCAAGCTGCTGGAGAGAAAGCAGAAAATAGTATGTACTGTTCAGTCAATTGATTTTTTTTTCTTATGGAGATGGAATAGAAAAGGCAAAATAGAGGTTGAACAAAAGGTCCCAGGTTATGTCTTTGGCATTTCCAGATAAAGCTGCTTGAATCCTGGAAAATCTTGCTGCTGAATGCTGGCAGTATTGGACTACAGGGACCTGTGGTCTGGCTAAAATGTAGAACAGCTCTGTATGTTCCTTGGGAGAGGGGGGAATCAAAGAGAGGATAATAACTGAAATGCGTTTGTTTGGGGTTAAATTTTCTTTGCAGAGTGTATCCAAATAATCATTAGATGTTTTTAAAATAACTTAATCTGTTTTATTATATCACGCCCACCCTTCAAAACTAAGTTTTCCCAGGGTTGTTTACAATACTTTAAAATAACAGCATCAAACATTTTGAACACAAATAACTAAAAATACAGTATATAAATAATAAAAAATAACAGATGATAGATCAATTAAAAAGTTACTATGTAGCATACATAAAATGTATGCATTAGTATGATAAAAGACCTGTGAAAATAAAACTATTTGCTCAAAGCTGGAAAATAAAGTAAGTACCACATGAAGAAGGCATTCGAGAATTTCAGTCCATTCCACTGAAGATGCTGCTGCCACAAAGCCACTGGTTTGGGAGGTCACCCAGAGCATAGGCTCTGGAGATGCCCTTAAGCATGCAGATAGGAACACAGTTCTGTAGTCCCAAGACAGGAAGGTATCAGTTAAGATCAACACATTGAATAGGGAATGGCATGAATTTAACTTCTGCAGTAGGAATATTGACATCAGACTCCTTGAGGTTGCTTTCAGAAATATATCCACAGATGTCTATCAATGGAGGTCAAGATATATGATAAAGAGCTTTGGATTTGAAGGAAAAAATGTACTTCCAGAGCATGCTTGGGCATACATGTAGCATCTGTTGGCAGTTCCTTAAAGTGGCTACATCTTTTCCCAAGAACATGTGGCTATCCCTTATTCACCAAGTTCCTCTATAAAAGTGCATTAAACCTAGTACAAATGTGCTTAATTCTTTTTGTTGATATCAGTGGAGGAAACTTTAAAAAAGCACAAAAAAGAAATAAAATCATGGAAACTTTTTCCATTCTAGTATGACTGCTGAAAACTTGCAAGATTCTGGATGTGTTGGTAGTTCCCTTGTTAAGGAAAGGAGATTGGTTATGCCTATTAAATGTATATGTTTGGGGACAATTTAAAAATATTTTTGCACATGTCTTTTTAATCTAATGAATATTTATGTTTCTGCCCTTTTTTTGGTAAAGCATCTCTCAAACAGAAGTTGAAACCAGTATCCTCAGACATTGCAGTTATTATGTATACAAGTGGTTCTACAGGAGTCCCAAAAGGTGTCATGATCTCTCATTGTAATCTTATTTCTAGCATAACTGGGATGGCTGAAAGGATTCCAAATTTGGGGTATGTATTAAATTAGCTTTTGGGGCTTAAGCAGCTTTTATATTTCTTTATAGTACTATACTCAGTGAAAATTCTTTCATTAAATCAAGGTTATAATGGAAACTAAATAATAGAAGAAAGCCTGCATGGAGAGAATACCCATTTGCAAGGCTGCCTTCCAGTTGTGCTTAACTACTGTTAACAAGGAACAATGCAAGAAGAAAACCTACTTAACAGAACTGTAAACAGTTTAAATTGTTAAATACATTTGGGTTTCATCCTTAGGGACATACCTACTTTTCTTTGCACCATAAGAGAAACTGCATCTTTTATCTATATTTTTATGCTTTCCTCTTTTTGTTTTTTTTTTTTGTTTTTTTAATGCAACAATATGCCAACATTAAACATTTTTCTTCCAGGCTGTATTTTAGAACATGATATTATAGTCTTAGCAGTGAGTTGGCATAATTTGGCAAATATCTTAATTTGTTTTCAGAAAGAAAGATACCTACATTGGCTACTTGCCTCTTGCCCATGTTCTAGAGTTAAGCGCTGAACTTGTTTGCTTGGCCCATGGTTGCCGAATTGGTTATTCGTCACCTCAAACTCTAAGTGATCAGGTAGGTTTTTTTCAACACACACAGCCATCTCCAAAGATGCCATGCTACATTTCACAGTTTAAAATATTTCTAAATACAAAATGGAAGTGTTTGTCTATTTTAAAAAAAGTTTCAGTGTTTTTTAGTATTTCTGACAAAATATTCTTGGCCTGTTTTCTGACTAGAAGTTATGCTAAATCTTTTCTTTCTTTAGTATATGCTACATGCTGAACAAATAAAAGCAGTTTTGATGAAGGTAACATGTTACTTTGCCTATTTTTCTTTCAGTCATCTAAAATAAAGAAAGGAAGTAAAGGTGATGTGTCTGTATTGAAGCCAACTTTAATGGCAGCTGTTCCAGTAAGTCGATGTCTGTATCTTTAAAATGTTGTTTAATATATGTGGAAAATATTTGTGATCAATGTGTGAGCTATGTGATTATGGAAGGTATGTTTTTAAAGAAAAATATTCATATTTATGTGTTGTGTTCTTAGAACCCTCCTTACAAAAATGCACGATTGAATGAGTGACTGATTGCTTCATGCTGAGTAAGTAGAGCCTGGAATATAAAGGAGCCAATTTCCAGGGAGTAGGTTCACTGAGCAAAAGAACAGAGAGAGCAAATAGGAATTTTGGTAGCATAGCCTCTAACAAGTTTTCCTTCTAAGTGGACAAAAGCATGAGAAGGGAACAAGAAATAAAAAGCCTTTCTACTAAGTGATTTCCCAAGGAAATGGAAATAAAATGCAAAGGGATAGGATTGAGCATATCTGGCTTGGCAGTAATACTTATTGAAAAAATGCTGGGCAGATTGTACTGCTTGAACACATTCAATTTGGAACGTGGCTCCAAAAAAGTAAATGAAATTTTAGGTACATAATTAGGCATCATTTAAACCATATAGTACTCCTGCAGATTACTGCAGTAGAGTAAATGTATGCCATGCTGCAATTTATCTCTGCTTGTAATTTATTTCTGTAACTAGGAAATCATGGATCGAATCTACAAAAATGTCATGAATTGAGTTGGTACTAACATGGGTACTAACTAATCAAGGGTACTAACCATTCCACTTCATTTTGCATTGGTCAGAATCTACCTCAGCTGCTGTATCTAGTTCTAGGGAATGTATTTTAAGAAAGATTCAGACAGATTGGAATAGGTTCAGAGAATGACAGTGAGGATAACTGGGGACTAGAAACTAATCCCTGTGAAGAAATATTGAAGGGAACTGGGAATGTTGACTTTTGAGAAGAGAAAGCTAAGGGTGGGTATGATAATACCCTTCAAATACACAAAGGGATGTCTTACAGAAAAGACTAAGACTATTATTCTATAGGACAGGATATGGAAGGGTGAAGGGTGTTCTGCAGTGTGGGGCTACTACAGAAAAGGCACACTTCCCACACTATATGGAATATTTAAGGGAAGGGATCTGGAGCGTGCCCAGTCTGTCCAACATGATGGGGCAGGCAGATACCATCAGTAAGAGGTGTTCCTGCAAATAACCCAGGCTTGTGCCATGTAGGGCTTTAAAGACGATTACCAGCATCTTGAGTTGCACCCAGAAAGAAAGAAACTAGGAGCCTGTGCAGCTCGTGAAACAGTGATGTGATATGGATATGTACCACGTATGAATATTACATTACTTTAAACATGTAATACTAGTTGGAACCTGATAACTACAAATTAAAATAAGCTCATAAAAAGTTACTTTTTTGCCCCCTCATTCCCACTTCAGCTGTTTGTGTCTTTTCCCATGAAAGTAACATCAGATTAATTTAAGGTGCTATGGAATAACTTAAAATGCTAATTATTTTCTTGTTATGCTTCATGCCTCATATTTGCATACTATTAATGCAATAACAGACAGAAGATGAGAGAGGGAGAGGGGGAAAAAGGAAATACAAATCTTATTGAATTAACACTGTAAATAAGCTTTCTAAATAAATCTGAATCTTTGGAATATTTTTTGTACCTGACAGTGATGCAATTCATTGCTTGAAAAAAACAAAAGCAAAAAGCAGTTTTCTGCACCACATGAGTGGCAAACTACACAGTATTGTTTTCCCTCTCTTCTAGTCTTTCAAAGGCTCGCAATCATACCGAATGTATAAATAGTCATTATAGCCTTATATTAATGTAGTGCTTGGGACTTAAAATGTGATGTGAATGTGAGCGTGGAAAAAGATTTGGAACTAGCTGTGATAATTTTTGACCACATTCTTCTGCACTAATGGTTTGAAGGCTTTTCCTTTTATCTGAAATTTTACTGTTATATGTTTGTATGTTCAGATTATTGGGGCAATCTAAGATTTTATCTAATCTTAAACCATGTAGTGCTCCTGCAGATTACTGCAATAGAGTAAATGTATAACACACTGCAATTTATGTCCACTTGATGTAATTTATTTCTGTAACTAGGAAATCATGGATCGAATCTACAAAAATGTCATGAATCGAGTAAATGAAATGTCCAGTTTTCAGCGCAATCTGTTTATTTTAGCTTATAATTACAAGATGGAACAGATTTCAAAAGGCTATAATACTCCAGTATGTGACAGGTTAGTAAGAGAGGTTGATTTGTTTTTCTCTAAAGAATAATATTTTTATGAAGGGGTATAAGGCTCCTAAAAAGAGCCCATCTGGGAAATGGTAGATGTTAGGCTTGCAAAACAGTAATGCTATTTTTGAAAGTTACTTCCAGCTAGACTATTTAAAAAAAAAATTATCTTATTGTATAAATCTGTTTATCAGTCTTCAGCTGTGACATGCATTCTTATTAGGGAATGTTCCACTGAAAAGAGGATAATTTATTTCTTGGTAACCATGTATAGGATGCAGTTACATTGTTACTGAATCATAATTTTGCAAAGTCAGTTATAAATCTCGTTGATTGTGTATACCATGACAATTGAATTGATGTTGTTAAGCAATGAAAGCTTGTTCTTCTTTCTCTCCCCCCACCCAGCCTCATTTTCCGGAAAGTCCGGATGCTGCTAGGTGGGAAGATACGGGTCTTGCTGTGTGGAGGAGCTCCACTTTCTGCAGCAACTCAGAGATTTATGAACATCTGTTTTTGTTGTCCTGTGGGACAGGGCTATGGCCTGACAGAATCCTCTGGGGCTGGAACAATAACAGAAGGTAAGTAGTATTTGTAGATCAACATGGTAGTCAGATTGTAGCAATATAATTGGATGTTATCAGCATGCTGATTAATATTACTTTGAAACACTGATGTTGCATAGAGTTATTTATTCAGAGCCATGATAAACTGTTTTTGAAACTACTTCTGAATTTTTTGATTATATTTTATTTTCCTAAATTTCAGTTTGGGACTACACAACAGGTAGAGTGGGAGCACCCTTAGTTTGTTGTGAAATCAAGCTGGTGAATTGGAAAGAAGGTAGGAAGTTCTCTTGAACTGAAACTTTAATGATTGTGCAATGGTTCTTTTCGAACAGATTTAATACATTACAGTGAAACTTAACATGCTTGAAAGGCTTGATTGTTAATGGCAGAAATGAGTGCAGCTTCTCTATTTAGTTTTTCTGAGATCTGAACTAGGCCTATCTGAACCTCATTAGATCTACCAATCCCTTAGGTTTCCATACTTGTGTGTGTTAAAAGCAGTGGCATGTTGTGTGTTCACTTTTTCCCTGAGTGGTCTTTCCTGGACTTCAAATTAACCCTGCTGAAGCTGTTCATAGTCACCAAGGGGAAAAAAAGATAAGTGGCATCTTTATGGGAAAGGGTGCTATAAAGCACAGTCTGACATGACATATTCTTTTCCATCTGTGTCGGGTACATTATTATCCACACTGTCCCAGTGTGAAAGAAAGACAGGCTCCTGCTTTTATTTAGCAGGAATAGCACATGTGTTAATGGTTGGAGACAATAATTAACATTTGTGGGAGATGGCAATGTTGATGAGTTTCCAGGGGAGTGTGCTTTTCCTCAATAATTTTGGGAAGTTTTTATTTTTTAAAAGCATATGATACAGGTTTTGTAGGGAAATAAACCAGATTTTCAATAATTTTGCTGTTAAAATTTGATCAGACACGGTTCTGAGCTGTTAGGTTCCAGCCCTGTTTTAATTTCCTTGTCAATCCTAGTAAGCTTAAAGCTAGCACCTCTATACTATATTGTTCTAGGTCTGCATAGTTCCCAGTGACATGTGGGGAAATGCCTATTATATCCCATCTCATCAAAATAGAAAAGGAGGAGCAGGGCTCCTGAATCTCTAATTGAATTGCAATGACTAAAAAGTCAGTAATTTTCTCTTTTCCCCCAACATAGAAAATTAGAGATTTTGAACTTTTCACCTCATATAATGCTGATGTTGCTAGCCTTGATAATTACCTCTGAAATTAAAGACATTTGTTTTTCAGTAAAAATTTTTAGAATCATGTAAACAAAACAAATGTTTTATTGATTATGTGCCATCCACCAAATTAACAAAAAATGAACAGCACATAAAATCACAAAAGCAATAAAATCAATATACACCATGTTATATTTACAGTCACCATAAAAGTAACTCATACAGTTATAAAATCCTAGCAATTAGCAATCTTATTTTGCTAATAAGATTTATAGCAAAAGAGTCCTACCACCATTCTCAGCATCTGAGAATGTGCTGATTGTTACCTATAACAAAGTCATTTATCAAGACCCCAAGAAGCACACCTTCCCTGTAGCAGCACCTGCCCTCTGAAACAAGGTTCCCCCCAAGATCTGTATAGCCCCCACTCTGCTGCTGTTTACAAGAGCTGTGATGACTTGTTCACCCAGGCCTTGTTGCTGCTGGCCTCTCACAGTCTGGCCCATCTGATCTTGCAGTCTTTATTTGCAGTGTCTTGGTGTTCACTGTTAGCACTGTGAGTTCATCTAGTGAGAAAAATGGGAGGTGGATTGGTGGTTATAAGAGGCCATCTTGATTTCAAATAACTTTTTACCTTTATTTCAGTACCATTTTTATTTTAAAAAGTAATAATTCCTCTATGCTGCCCTATGCTCTACATATGGGTGATTGTGATCATTACTAGAAGTTGGAGCCATTAGGAGGTTTGGTATTTAAAATATTTATTTGGCACAAATGAGAAAAGATATTCTCTCTTTCAACTGAGGATTGAGAATTATTGTGGTGTAGAGATTAAGGTGTTAGAATAGGAGCAGGGAGACCCAGGTTCTAGTCCATCAGCCATGGAAGCTCTCTGCATCACTAGCCAATCACTCTCTCCCAACTCTATCTTCATAGAGTTGTTGTAAAGAAAAAGAGGAGGAGGGAGTTAGCTATCCAATGAAAGGCAGGATATATATCTAATAAAATAAAGAAATAAAGAAACTTAAACATAGCGTTTAGGTCACTGGTAACCAGAAGCCAAGGGAAAATATGTGGACCCTTGGTAGGAAGGATCCTATGAACTCCATTTTTCTCTAATCCTTGTCTTTTTATATCTGATTAGTTTTATATCTAGAGGACATGCTCAGTGATATATCACAAATGGGATACAGGCAACATAGATTTAGGGTTCTTGAATTTTTATATATTAGTAGCAGTAAGCAAGCTGGTTTGGGACTGTCAGCTTGTTGAATACCGTATTTTTCCGACAATAAGACGCCCCCATGTACAAGACGACCCCCACTTTTCC